TGGTTACTGTGTGTGTGTTACTGTGTGTTACTGTGTGTGTGTGTGTTACTGTGTGTGTCTGTGTTACTGTGTGTTACTGTGTGGTGTGTGTTACTGTGTGTGTTACTGTGTGTGGTACTGTGTGTGTGTGTTTACTGTGTGTGTTACTGTGTGTGTACTGTGTGTGTGTGTGTTACTGTGTGTGTGTGTTACTATGTGTGTGTGTTACTGTGTGTGTGTGTGTGTGTTACTGTGTGTGTCTGTGTTACTGTGTGTTACTGTGTGTGTGTGTGTTACTGTGTGTGTTACTGTGTGTGTTACTGTGTGTGTGTGTACTATGTGTGTTACTGTGTGTTACTGTGTGTTACTGTGTTACTGTGTGTTACTGTGTGTGTTACTGTGTGTGTTACTGTGTGTACTGTGTTACTGTGTGTGTTACTGTGTGTTACTGTGTGTTACTGTGTGTGTACACGGTGTGTTACTGTGTGTTACTGTGTGTGTTACTGTGTGTGTTACTGTGTGTTACTGTGTGTGTTACTGTGTGTTACTGTGTGTTACTGTGTGTTACTGTGTGTGTTACTGTGTGTTACTGTGTGTGTGTGTTACTGTGTGTTACTGTGTGTTACTGTGTGTTACTGGTGTGTTACTGTGTGTTACTGTGTGTGTTACTGTGTGGTTACTGTGTGTGTTACTGTGTGTTACTGTGTTACTGTGTGTTACTGTGTGTTACTGTGTGTTACTGTGTGTTACGTGTTATGTGTGTGTTACTGTGGTGTTACTGTGTGTTACTGTGTGTGTGTTACTGTGTGTTACTGTGTGTTACTGTGTGTGTTACTGTGTGTTACTGTGTGTTACTGTGTGGTTACTGTGTGTGTTACTGTGTGTTACTGTGTGTTACTGTGTGTTACTGTGTGTGTTACTGTGTGTGTTACTGTGTGTTACTGTGTGTTACTGTGTGTGTTACTGTGTGTTACTGGTGTTACTGTGTGTGTTACTGTGTGTGTTACTGTGTGTTACTGTGTGTTACTGTGTGTGTTACTGGTGTGTTACTGTGTGTTACTGTGTGTTACTGTGTGTGTTACTGTGTGTTACTGTGTGTTATGTGTGTGTTACTGTGGTGTTACTGTGTGTTACTGTGTGTTACTGTGGTGTTACTGTGTTACTGTGTGTGTTACTGTGTGTTACTGTGTGTACTGTGTGTGTTACTGTGTGTTACTGTGTGTGTTACTGGTGTGTTACTGTGTGTTACTGTGTGTGTGTGTTACTGTGTGTTACTGTGTGTGTTACTGTGTGTGTTAATGTGTGTTACTGTGTGTTACTGTGTGTGTTACTGTGTGTGTTAATGTGTTTACTGTGTGTTACTGTGTGTGTTACTGTGTGTGTTACTGTGTGTTACTGTGTGTGTTACTGTGGTGTTACTGTGTGTTACTGTGTGTTACTGTGTGTGTTACTGTGTGTGTGTGTGTGTGTGTGTGTTACTGTGTGTGTGTGTGTGGTGTGTTACTGTGTGTTACTGTGTGTGTTACTGTGTGTTAATGTGTGTTACTGTGTTACTGTGTGTGTTACTGTGTGTTACTGTGTGTTACTGTGTGTGTTACTGTGGTTACTGTGTGTTACTGTGTGTTACTGTGTGTTACTGTGTGTGTTACTGTGTGTGTTAATGTGTGTTACTGTGTGTTACTGTGTGTTACTGTGTGTGTTACTGTGTGTGTTACTGTGTGTTACTGTGTGTTACTGTGTGTGTTACTGTGTGTTACTGTGTGTTACTGTGTGTGTTACTGTGTGTGTTACTGTGTGTTACTGTGTGTGTTACTGTGTGTTACTGTGTGTTACTGTGTGTGTTACTGTGTGTTACTGTGTGTTACTGTGTGTGTTACTGTGTGTTACTGTGTGTGTTACTGTGTGTGTTACTGTGTTACTGTGTGTGTGTTACTGTGTGTTACTGTGTGTGTTACTGTGTGTTACTGTGTGTACTGTGTGTGTGTGTTACTGTGGTGTTACTGTGTGTTACTGTGTTACTGTGTGGTGTTACTGTGTTACTGTGTTACTGTGTGTGTTACTGTGTGTTACTGTGTGTGTTACTGTGTGTACTGTGTGTGTTACTGTGTGTGTTACTGTGTGTTACTGTGTGTTACTGTGTGTGTACTGTGTGTGTTACTGTGTGTTACTGTGTGTTACTGTGTGTGTTACTGTGTGTGTTACTGTGTTACTGTGTGTTACTGTGTGTTACTGTGTGTTACTGTGGTTACTGTGTGTGTTACTGTGTGTTACTGTGTTGTACTGTGTGTGTTACTGTGTGTGTTACTGTGTGTTACTGTGTGTGTTACTGTGTGTTACTGTGTGTTACTGTGTGTGTGTTACTGTGTGTTACTGTGTGTTACTGTGTGTGTTACTGTGTGTGTTACTGTGGTTACTGTGTGTTACTGTGTGTGTTACTGTGTGTTACTGTGTGTTACTGTGTGTTACTGTGTGTTACTGTGTGTACTGTGTGTTACTGTGTGTTACTGTGTGGTTACTGTGTGTTACTGTGTTACTGTGTGTGTTACTGTGTGTTACTGTGTGTTACTGTGTGTGTTACTGTGTGTTACTGTGTTACTTTGTGTTACTGTGTGTGTGTTATGTGTTGTTACTGTGTTACTGTGTGTTACTGTGTGTGTGTGTTACTGTGTTACTGTGTGTGTACTGTGTTACTGTGTGTGTACTGTGTGTTACTGTGTGTTACTGTGTGTTACTGTGTGTTACTGTGTGTGTGTTGTGTTACTGTGTGTGTTACTGTGTGTGTTACTGTGTGTTACTGTGTGTGTTACTGTGTGTGTACTGTGTGTTACTGTGTGTTACTGTGTGTGTGTGTGTGTTACTGGTGTGTTACTGTGTGTGTGTTACTGTGTGTGTTACTGTGTGTTACTGTGTGTGTTACTGTGTGTACTGGTGTTACTGTGTGTGTTACTGTGTGTTACTGTGTGTGTGTTACTGTGTGTTACTGTGTTACTGTGTGTTACTGTGTGTACTGTGTGTGTTACTGGTGTATTTTACTGTGTGTGTTACTGTGTGTGTGGATGTGTGTGTGTTACTGTGTGTATTTACTGTGTGTTACTGTGTGTATTTACTGGTGTTACTGTGTGTTACTGTGTGTATTTTACTGGTGTTACTGTGTGTTTTTACTGGTGTTACTGTGTGTATTTTACTGTGTTACTGTGTGTATTTTACTGTGTGTGTACTGTGTGTATTTTACTGTGTGTTACTGTGTGTATTTTACTGTGTGTGTTACTGTGTGTGTGTGTTGTGTGTGGTTACTGTGTGTATTTTACTGTGTGTTACTGTGTGTATTTTACTGTGTGTTACTGTGTGTTACTGTGTGTATTTTACTGTGTGTTACTGTGTGTATTTTACTGTGTGTTACTGTGTGTTACTGTGTGTACTGTGTGTTGTGTGTACTGTGTGTTACTGTGTGTATTTTACTGTGTGTACTGTGTGTTACTGTGTGTATTTTACTGTGTACTGTGTGTTACTGTGTGTTACTGTGTGTGTTACTGTGTGTTACTGTGGTGTTACTGTGTGTATTTTACTGTGTGTTACTGTGTGTTACTGTGTGTATTTTACTGGTGTTACTGTGTGTGTTACTGTGTGTTACTGTGTTACTGTGTGTGTTACTGTGTGTTACTGTGTGTTACTGTGTGTGTTACTGTGTGTTACTGTGTGTGTTACTGTGTGTTACTGTGTGTTACTGTGTGTTACTGTGTGTGTTACTGTGTGTTACTGTGTGTGTTACTGTGTGTTACTGTGTGTACTGTGTGTGTGTGTGTTACTGTGTTGTTACTGTGTGTGTTACTGTGTGTTACTGTGTGTGTTACTGTGTGTTACTGTGTGTTACTGTGTTACTGTGTGTGTGTGTGGTTACTGTGTGGTTACTGTGTGTGTTACTGTGTGTGTTACTGTGTGTTACTGTGTGTGTTACTGTGTACTGTGTTACTGTGTGTGTTACTGTGTGTTACTGTGTGTGTGTTACTGTGTGTTACTGTGTTACTGTGTGTGTTACTGTGTGTTACTGTGTGTTTTACTGTGTGTTACTGTGTGTTACTGTGTGTTACTGTGTGTGTTGATGTGTGTGTGTACTGTGTGTATTTTACTGTGTGTTACTGTGTGTTACTGTGTGTATTTTACTGTGTGTTACTGTGTGTATTTTACTGTGTGTGTACTGTGTGTATTTTACTGTGTGTTACTGTGTGTATTTTACTGTGTGTTACTTTGTGTATTTACTGTGTGTTACTGTGTGTATTTTACTGTGTGTGTTACTGTGTGTGTGTTGATGTGTGTGTTACTGTGTGTATTTTACTGTGTGTTACTGTGTGTATTTTACTGTGTGTTACTGTGTGTTACTGTGTGTATTTTACTGTGTGTTACTGTGTGTTACTGTGTGTATTTTACTGTGTGTTACTGTGTGTTACTGTGTGTTACTGTGTGTATTTTACTGTGTGTTACTGTGTGTTACTGTGTGTATTTTACTGTGTGTTACTGTGTGTTACTGTGTGTTACTGTGTGTGTTACTGTGTGTTACTGTGTGTGTTACTGTGTGTATTTACTGTGTGTTACTGTGTGTTACTGTGTGTATTTTACTGTGTGTTACTGTGTGTTACTGTGTTACTGTGTGTTACTGTGTGTATTTTACTGTGTGTTACTGTGTGTTACTGTGTGTGTTACTGTGTGTTACTGTGTGTGTTACTGTGTGTTACTGTGTGTGTGTTACTGTGTGTATTTTACTGTGTGTGTTACTGTGTGTTACTGTGTGTGTTACTGTGTGTATTTTACTGTGTGTTACTGTGTGTGTGTTACTGTGTGTGTTACTGTGTGTTACTGTGTGTGTGTTACTGTGTGTATTTTACTGTGTGTGTTACTGTGTGTTACTGTGTGTGTGTTACTGTGTGTATTTTACTGTGTGTTACTGTGTGTGTGTTGTTGTGTCTCCATGGCGTCAGTCGGATCAGTTTAATGTTTAGAGACAATGAGGAAGTGGATTCTGGACTCTGGACTCTGGACTCTGGACTCTGGAGTTGTTGCAGGTGCGATTCAGACGGGAGCTGAAAGGTTCTGCACGCCTGGAGAACCTGCCGTGGTTCTGCTGCCTGCTGGCTCTGAGCGGAGAGAGAGATGAAGCTGGAGGTGAAGATCGAGCTGCTGAAGTTCTGCTCTGCGCTCTTAAACTCCATCTTCCTGGTGAGACGTTCAGTCAGAACTCAGAGCTGCTCTCAGATCAGTTCCTCCTGTAGATCAGCCTCTTTAATATCTGCTGAGTCAGCATTCAGCCTTCCCTCCTCTTTGTGTCTCTGTTTGGGGAAGTGACCTCTTTAAATGCACTTTTCACAGCTAAACACCAGAAACACGCTCACACATGCAGACACCGTTAAAACCGAGCCCAGTGTTCAGCTAAACGCCTGCTGGAATAACAGCTGAGTCTTCAGCTGCTTTTTAAAGGTGCGTAACGCAGTGGGGAGGTGCGTACGAGGAACTGCTAACAGCCTCTGACCTAATGACCTTAGGGTGGGGGGGGTTGCTGTAACAGCTCGGAGATGTAAGAGGGAGTTTGACCTTGTGATGCGCTAAAGGTAAGATATTAAAATGAAGATGAAGTGGCAGCCAGTGAAGCGGTGATCGGACTGGAGTAATGAGCGCTCTTCTGCTTCATGTGGTAAACAGCTGAGTTCTGGACAGCGAGTGAGTTCTTTATTATTCATGCAGGTAAAAAGACAGAAATCTAAACGGGAGGCTTTCTGTCTTTGACACCAGCGATCTTAGTTTGAATATGTTCCTTAGTTGGAAGAAGCAGTTTTTTAATTGGTTGGTTGGAGTGATGTCATGAGAGGTCAGGGCCTGTTTAGCCTAGCTTAGCACAAAGACTGGAAGCAAGGGGAAACCGTTAGCCTAGCATCCTCAGAAGAAACCATTTGAATTCCTGTTAGTGTTTCCAGAAAGCACAGCGTACGTTCTTCAAACACAAACCTCCACAAACACTCAGTTCCTCTCAGACGAGCCCAGGTCACCCAGGTGCTGCTTGATCACAGGGGTAAATAATCAGGTGCAATAATTAATGTCTCTGTCTTATCTGTGTTCAGTTGCAGAGTGTTCTCATTCAGCCGCTGCCTGATGTTGCTCAGTTTGCTAGGATCATTTATGGAGATCTGTGTCCTTTAATGATCAGTACAGCTGAATATCATCCGCATGAAGGTGGTAAGATGTCGCTGAACTGTCTGATAATTTGTCCAACAGGAAGAAATAAGAAATAAGATCCCAGGTCCCAGGACGGACCCTTGGGGTGTCCCATATGACAACACTGCTTTATCCAACATGAACCTGTTTGCAAGAGCACCAAAAAAAAAAGCATTTTAAGACAGTTCCAGACAGCTGGTGGAGTCTGTTTAGCATGATGTTGTGATCGATAGTATCGAAAAGTCTAATAGGAGCAGGACAGAATCAGCGGCCGTCAGAATATCGCTGGAGATTTTAAGTAAAGAGGATTCTGTGTTTTTGGCGGAAACCAGACTGAAATGTGTCAGATATTTCATGGGTCTCAAAGAAGGCAGTCAGCTGAATGTTTAACACGAACGAGAGTTTAGAGATGGGTCTAGAGTTCTTCGGGCCGGATGGGTCCAGGTTAAACTTTTTAAGTACTGGTTCAATGATTGCATGGTTAACCTCCTAACATTCCTGTCAAATTCATGCAAAACGCCTCTTCAAGGCAGATCCAGAGTAAATTGAATGTAGTTCTTGAACCATTTGGAGTATCTGCCTGGTTTTGGGCTTCTCTGAAAGAGACACTCTGCAGAGTCTGACCTGAAAGTCAGAATGACTGTAAGAGCTACTGGAATTGATTAATATAAGTTTAAACACACTAAAACTAATAGATTTTTCATTTCCACTGGAAAATGTTTGCTAACAAATGCAGCTACAGCTGGGAACACTGTGGGCCGCAGCAGAAAGCCTTACCTAGAACACGTTTAAACTTCATACCAGTACCGTGAAACATGACTCTTGTCCACAGGTTATTCTGAGGGTCTGTCTCAGCAGCTCCACGCAGACGTGTGCTTCTGTTGGCAGATCATGAACTTCCTCCTTAAAACTGGATATCGTTATATTCAGAATCTTATTGGCTACAGGAAGTGCCCGTCATCGGCACAGTTGGTTGCAATTGGCTCAGCCTACGCATGAAATGACAGGGGCCGGCCCTTCCTCTCATTGGCTGTTGAAGGCTGTGAAAGGGACATGTGAGCTCCTATTGGTTCGGATATGGCGTCAGTCGAAAGGTCAAAGTTCAGCTGCTAATCTGAATACAAGCTTTCGTAGTTGTTTACATCCAAATCTGAGTTATTCCGGTTATAATGACGTACGAGCTGCGTCTGAAGCGGTGCGGCAGCCCTGAGGATTTACTGATGGAATAATGTGTTTTGGACTAAATGTTTTTACTGGATTGGATCGTCTGGACCTTTGACAGCGTTTCTGTTGGAATATAATCGATGGGTGGATTAAGTTACTGTGAGGCTTCAGAGTCGCGTCACTTTTTCTGTACTGGCTGGTCTGACAGAGGCGCCGATTGGACCCGCTGTGCTGACTGAATCTTGAAATGGTTTGCATCGGTCGAATCACGAGGATTTTAGCTTTCAGACGGTGGAACATACGAGTATGAAGTTAACATATCAGCTGTGTGCACAGACCGAAAGCTGCCGCCAGGACCTGACGGCCCGCTGGAGCGTTAAGAGGTAAAGAGAGGTTGGGAGATGCCAGTTTGAAGTGAGATGTTAAGCATGTGGCTCCTTTTTAAATTATTAAACTTTAATTCAACTCCTGGACTTTAATAGCTCCTGAGTTTCATGTTCAAAACATTCAGAATCTCTCCCACAGATCTGTGTTCTCTGACAGGTCCAGAGAAAAAGTTTCTAACGTCACTCTGCTGCGCATTATGTAGTTGCTCTGCTGGTACAGTCAGACGAGACGAGCAGCTGGAAAACTATCGCTTCCAAACAGAGCAAGGCTGCTTCAGGTTTCACACGTTCATGTTGTGAAACTCTGCCAGCTACATTACCACTCGGTCACAAGCTGACTCACAGCGCGAGAGCGGGTTCACCTGATTACTCTCACGCAGTCATTTCATCGAAATAAACTGATTTTCCTCCGAAACGTTCATCCTGCAGAATCTCTGAAACAAACACTCCAAACCGATTTAGACCCGATCCCCTAAGAATCAGTACGAACAATGGAACAAGACAGCCGCTGACCTTTGACCTCTGCACTGTGAGACAGCCGCTGACCTTTGACCTCTGTCTGCAGGCTCTGGGTCTGAGCGTGGCCGGCTGTGGAGTCTGGATCCTTTTTGACAGAGGAAGCTTCCTGACCGCCATCTCCTCCGGTAACTCTGCTGCACGGGAGCCCACAGTGCAGCGTTCAGTGCCTGTTTAGCCTAGCTTAGCACAAAGACTGGAAGCAGGGGGAAACTGTTAGCCTAGCTTAGCACAAAGACTGGAAGCAGGGGGAAACTGTTAGCCTAGCTTAGCACAAAGACTGGAAGCAGGGGGAAACTGTTAGCCTAGCTTAGCACAAAGACTGGAAGCAGGGGGAAACTGTTAGCCTAGCTTAGCACAAAGACTGGAAGCAGGGGGAAACTGTTAGCCTAGTTTAGCACAAAGACTGGAAGCAGGGGAAACTGTTAGCCTAGCTTCCTCAGAGGAAACAAAACTTTTGACAACATTTGATTTCCTGTTACTGTTTTCAGAAAACACTCATGTAGTGAAAGTATCAGCAGTAAAAGTACACAAGTACTCTCAGCTTCATGTAGTGAAAGTACACGAGGAACAGGGCTGGAGGGGGTGGAGCCAACGAGACACAGGTGAAACACAGGTGCAGGAACACAAGACAGGAAACAAAGCTGCACAGCACACAGCAGGAAGAACCCTTTCAAAATAAAACAAGTCAAATCCTAAAGATGTCTCTGTATGTGTAAAGTGTTTCTCGTGTGTGTACAGATGAGCTGCGTACCGTGGGGGCGGGGCTGCTGCTGATTGGTGGAGTGGTGGTGGTGGTCAGTGTCGTTGGATGTGTCGGAGCTGGTAGAGAGAACAGATTCCTGCTGCTGATGGTGAGTCTGGAACCTCTGGGACCAGTGACAGGAAGGAGGATGTTATCACCAGTTCATGACTTCCTGATATTGTTTATCTGTACCTGAAAGCCAGAGATGGACGCCTCACGCCGGCGTCCGCTCACGTTATGTTAACCATGAAGAGTGTTTTGCACGTGACGTGAAACAGAAATCCTTCCATCCCTCCTGACATAAAGGTAGCATTAACTCTGCTCTCCCTCCTCAGTACCTGGGCTTCCTCATCGTCCTGATCTTGGGTCAGCTGTTCGTCACGCTGCTGCTGCTCATAAGTAAACACACGGTGAGCCGGCTTTTATTTTGGCGATCAGACATGTGTCCGTGTACTAATAGTTTCCTCTGACAGCCTGAACAGGAAGTTCATCTTATTTTAACGTGTCGACGTGAGATCAGATCTACTTCAGGTGCAGCAGGAAACTACAGGTGTGTTTCCACCAAGAAGTCCAGTTCACTTCAGTCCCTCACACATGAGAACGGTTCTTTTTATTCTTTTCTTATTCTTATTTCTATCTGAAGAAGTTGAGGATGGAACCAGTAGAACCTTTCCATTACGTTCCGTTTTTCCATTACCTCTTTGTAGAGGTACACAGCGCGCTGACCCGGGACTCAAAGGTGGAGATAGAAACAATGCAGCCCACTGATTGGTCAACACATCTAGAGATTGATCACTGGATACTGGAAGTGTGAAAACGCAGCTTAAATGAGCTTAACTAACCAAACTAACCTGGCTAACCATGCTAATGCTAAAATGGCTAACTGGAGTAACCATGCTAACCTAGTTAACTGGATTATGTGAAGTATTTGGTGTCATGTCACATTGAGCACTTGAGTTCTTCCTGCTGTGGTCAGATTGAACGGAGTCTGGACGCCTCAGTGGACAGGATCATCCTTCAGTATGGAGGACGCGGTCAGGACAGACTGATGGACAACGTGCAGCACTATGTGAGTCTATTTAATCAGTGTGGCTATAATTACTGGTTGATTTATTGATGATGATTGTGATTTGCTGTGGACAGGGGAAGTGCTGTGGCAGGACGGGTGCTGACGATTGGCTGAAGAACTCTTATATTCAGACGCTGAACCTGACCAACCCAGACGTTCTTCCCTGTTCCTGCTTCAGCTCGTATCGTCCCAGCCTGGACTCGTCCTGGTGCTCCGAGCTGCTGAACTTCAGCGCTCCGCTGTTTGGACGAGGAAACACCTCGTACCATCAGGTACTGCAGTACTCACACACAGTATACAGTCAGATTACTGCATATCTGTACTGACAGGCTGCATCATGTCATTAATACAAAGAGCATTTAGCTAAAGAATGAAAAGCATCACATTATTATGTTATTTTATGTTGTTTCATGTTCATATTTCATTAAGCTACAGCATGCTACAATAAGCTACATCATGCTACAGCATGCTACATTAAGGTACATCATGCTACAGCATGCTACAGCATGCTATATTAAGCTACAGCATGCTACATTAAGCTACATCATGCTACATTAAGATACATTATGCTACAGCATGCTACAATAAGCTACATCATGCTACAGCATGCTACAGCATGCTACATTAAGCTACATCATGCTACATTAAGCTACATCATGCTACATCATGCTACATCATGCTACAGCATACTACAGCATGCTACAGCATGCTATATTAAGCTACAGCATGCTATATTAAGCTACGTCATGCTACATTAAGATACAGCATGCTACATTAAGCTACAGCATGCTACATTAAGCTACATCATGCTACATCATGCTACATCATGCTACAGCATACTACAGCATGCTACAGCATGCTATATTAAGCTACAGCATGCTACATTAAGCTACGTCATGCTACATTAAGATACAGCATGCTACATTAAGCTACAGCATGCTACATTAAGCTACATCATGCTACATCATGCTACATCATGCTACAGCATACTACAGCATGCTACAGCATGCTACATTAAGCTACATCATGCTACATTAAGCTACATCATGCTACATTAAGCTACATCATGCTACATCATGCTACAGCATACTACAGCATGCTACAGCATGCTATATTAAGCTACAGCATGCTACATTAAGCTACGTCATGCTACATTAAGCTACGTCATGCTACATTAAGCTACAGCATGCTACATTAAGATACAGCATGCTACATTAAGCTACAGCATGCTACATTAAGCTACAGCATGCTACATTATGCTACAGCATGCTACATTAAGATACAGTATGCTACATTATGCTACATCATGCTACATTAAGCTACATCATGCTACATTAAGCTACATCATGCTACATCATGCTACAGCATGCTATATTAAGCTACAGCATGCTACATTAAGATACATTATGCTACATTAAGCTACAGCATGCTACATTAAGATATATATGCTACATTAAGCTACATCATGCTACATTAAGCTACATCATGCTACATCATGCTACATCATGCTACAGCATGCTATATTAAGCTACAGCATGCTACATTAAGATACATTATGCTACATTAAGCTACAGCATGCTACATTAAGATACATTATGCTACATTAAGCTACAGCATGCTACATTAAGATACATTATGCTACATTAAGCTACAGCATGCTACATTAAGATACATTATGCTACATTAAGCTACAGCATGTTACATTAAGATACATTATGCTACATTAAGCTACAGCATGCTACATTAAGATACATTATGCTACATTAAGCTACAGCATGTTACATTAAGATATATTATGCTAAATCATGCTATGTTCCGTTGTTATGTTACATTACATTTTTGTTATTATGCTACTTTATGTTACGTTAGGCTATATTACATTTGTTATGTTAAGCTATGTTATGCTACATCATGCTACATTAAACTACATTATGCTACATTAAGCTATGTCATGCTACATTCCGTGTTACATTATGTTACATTTGCTTTGTTTCTTAATCATTTGTTGTTATTATGCTACTTTGTTACAGATAGAATTGCTAAATCTATCAGATTATAATGTTATGCTTACATATTGTGTTTATATTTTATATATACGTTATGTTTAAAATGATATCTTCATCTGTTGTGTTGATATGTAAGTTTCAGTATGCTATGCATGTGTTTATGTTGTGTAAGTTAGTTATTATATTTGAATGTTATGTTGCAGTGTGTTTGTGTCATGCAACATGTTGTGTCACTTTGTCTGCTCTCTTGTTCATCAGGTGATGTAAGTTTGTGTGTTTGTTGCAGGGCTGCAAACAGAAGCTCAGTGATTGGCTGCAGGAGAATGCCGTGACTATCGTTGGCATGGACGTCAGCCTCATGTTGATCCAGGTAATAAACTGTCTCCGTCTGAGTCTGTCCCCTAAAAAGAAAAGACGACATCATGACCTCCACTGACTCTCCCGTCTCTCTCCAGGTGTTCCAGATGGTCGTGATGGTTTACCTGTACCGAGCGTTTGGCAGAAAAGCTGTTTTGAAAAAAGCAGATCCTCTGGCCGAGCCGGACCACGCCCACCTGGACCACACCCCTGAAGATGACGTGGACTATGGAGAACAGAACTATGGCTACAGCCATACTGATGATGATTACATTGACCCCGCCCACCCAGCACAGTACCATTACTGAAGCCAGGGGTTTTATTTCAGAAGCAGTTTTTGTCATTGGTTGAAGTTTTCTTTACTCCAGACAGCGATCACCTGTGTGCTTCTGACCAATCATTTCATTCGTCACTACTTGGGCTGTGCACGTTAACATGTTCTTATCGCGTTAATTAATTAACACGACAATTATTTTATTGCACATTAACACGATTTTTATTATTATTTTAATAGTCCGTTGCTCGCTGGCCAATCAGACGAGCAGTGGAGGGAGGCTTCAGCTCCAGCGTGTGGAAGAAGCAGATAAACAAAAGCAAGACAAGCGATCAAACGCAGCAGTGAAGTGGAGAGCTGCACACTGCATGCTGGGTAATGTTGGGGAACGTTCTTACAGTCACAGCGTAGTCTCTTGGCCCCGCGGTGTCGCTCTTTGCTCCGGAAATATTGTAATTTTTATTTATATTTTTCTTTATTTTATTTTCTTGCTGCTGTGTAAAGCGAACACTGCTGGGAAAAAGTGTTTGAAACCACATGTTATTACACTTTTGTGTATATAGCAGTACATTTAAATTAAAAGTGGCAACACACGACTTTAGAATTCATTATTCATCAACAGTGACACTTTGTGCAGCTGGAGAAAAGTAACTGCAGCCGCTTTGCTCCCACCAAGTTCTAATGTCATGTGACATGGTGACATTTTGCAGCGCAGGTGAAAATTTCTAACCAGCATGCATCGCGTTAAGTCAGCTCTGCGAAGCGCCACATGAAGCATCTCAGAGACTTTTTGCTTTTCTTTTTATTAAAAACTTTATTCAAACATTATCTGAGCAGAAAACAGATCAACAATTTAAAATACATTAAAAAACATTTGGTAAAAAGCTGAAGTTTGTACATGAGCTCGGTGCTAAGCTACACCTGCAGTGCCCTCTGGTGTTCACACAGAGAACTACACCAGATAAATAATAAATAAAGGACAGAAGAAAACAAAAGAGAGGACATCAGTCAACCTCTGGTAAATATAATACAAATACATAAACTTGCTCCATTTCAGTGAAAAATAGATTTTAACAGCAAGTGTATGTAATTCTGAGAACTAGATTCATAGAAATGATATATTCAGAGCTACGTTAACATTTATCTTATTTATGCAGATTCGTTTGCAACAGATTAAATCTTAGATTGTGTCAATATATTTATGTTAAAGTTCATTATTAGCATAAAACACTGTTTTAAAAAACCTAATGATTTTTTTCTTTTGATCACAACAACAGATAAATTCTGCTAATAAAATAATTAATATGTATTATATAACAATAATAAATGTAGATTTTAGATTAGATTCTTTGTGTTGCTTTTATTTGGAGGATAATGATGCTGTTGGAACTACAGTTCCCATAATACTTTAGGGTCATCAGGAAGTATAAAGTTGAACAGTGAGCTGAGAGACTTGTGTTTACTCATGTAACTCTGAAATGTTTTTTTGGCCAGGTATCTCTCGATAAAGAGATTTTAATCTCACGGAGACTCACCTGGTTACACAAAGGTTCGATAAATAAAAAAATTAAAATGCATGTTGCCGTGGAGTCAGCGTGTCTTAAAGTAGCTTAATTAGCTGCGAGCAGCTGCTGTTCGCAGTTCGCCAGCTCTCACTGGTTCTGCTGCGTCTCTGATCTGTGAACACTGAATCTGAAAATCAGCTGTTGCACCAACTTCCTGATGTTGTAACAACACCTGTCTGTACCTGTCTCCTCACGTCACGTTGTGGAGACTCTGCACACTCAGACTCTCTCCAGGAGAAACCCTGGAGGTCAGGACCTGGATCTGGTTCTGCTGAGGGGTCGGCAGTGCGTGTGCGTTATTTGCGCAGTGCTTCCACCTGCTGCCTCCAGCAGTGAACACAGCGGATGGATTTACTGATGGAGTTGAAGTCTGGAGGTGAAGGGGTGGAAGTGAAGGGGGGGGCGGAGGGGAGGCACCTGGCAGAGTCCAGCTGTGGCCCGTTCTGAAAACACACACTGATTTTACACACTGACTGACTTCTCTAATCAATCAGCTGATCGATCATCCGGCTCAGTCGCTCCGGGAGTTTAGTTTCACTCATTAATAATTTTAACTCATTTCCTGTCTGATCAGCCTCAGAAAGAAACTGACCAATCAGAAGAAAAACACTCTGCCAGCCAATCAGAGTGCAGAGACTCACCAGGTGTTGCAGCAGGTCTCCGTTCAGCCTGACGACTCGACACAGAGCGTTGACATCAGGGCAGAAAGATCCGGGCTTCTCCACACACATCTGATACTTAGACAGTCTTTCGGCCACCGTGGAGCTCTGCACCAAACCACATTAAAAAAACACACGATTTTATATTTTTAACCATCCACATTAAGGCCTGGTGCTGATTTATGCCACATCCAACAGACTGACGATGTTCCTCTTATAAATAAGATCTTTTGTTTGATTCCAGCATAACAGCTCTGCTGAAAAAAGGATTTGACATTGCGTTTGAGATGATGGCGTCAAGTCGGATACGTTCTACCTCCTGTAGAGTGCGTGAGCTTAGAACAATGGCTGATCTTGTGGTATTTGCAAAGGCAAAACCCGCAAGATCAGGCAAACCTATTTTGTGCATCTGCCGGACTCAGAAACCTGCAACAAGTTTTAACGTCATGTGACATGGTGACGTTTTGCAGCGACGGTGAAGGTCAGACAACAACTCACTGTCTAGTATGCCTTATGTTGAGTCAGCGCTGTGAGTCACCGCGTGAAGTCAAACACACCTTTTGTGTCTCGTATTCTCCGACTGAAAGCTGCAGCGCCACTATCAGGACAACGTTCACAGGTAAAGTTGTCCTATTTGTGAAGTGTAATGAACCCTGCGGCCTGTAGAAGGCGGTAGCAGCACCTTAAACAGATCCTGTGCAGTATGGGGCGTACCTGTTCCAGGTGAGCAGCGGTTTCTTTGCAGGCCAGGCTTTCCAGATTCCCCAGGTTGCTCTGCATCGAAAAACAAAGACACAAACAAGATTAATTGAGAGAGCCTGACCTCCAACGTGGACGCCACTGGCTGCTGATGAATTCTTTCAGTCTGCAGAGACTTAAACTGTCTGTTTTTTGAAGGGAGTTTGGTGTGAAACCTGCAGAGCGTTCCGTCTCACCTTTGTTTGGAGGACGCTGCTGTAGGTCATAAGCGCCGCCTCCAGGTCCTCGACGATGCTCTGCATGTCGGGGTCTTTTGGTAACACCCTGGCTGCAAGCTCCGCCCACAACACCAGAGACAGGAAGAACACGTACCCACAATGCACTGCAACAGGAAGAGGTGAGGGTTTTATGACGGGCTCACTCACAACGATCAGATAGTAAAGCACGTTCAGAAGAGTTATTTATTTATTTGTTTCATTTTGTTTTGTTTATTTTGTGATTCATTCAATCAGACACCAGCGTCTCTGAAGTCACGTCATTATTTATTACATTAACATTTTCTAATTCAACTAAAGTTTTTTAGTTATTCGCAAATTACAAACTTGTCATTTATTCATTTGTCCTGTCATTTTAATTGAAAATGAAAATGAATATTATGAAGAAACATATGAAGGTTTATTTATAAACTGGAGTCTGTCGGCAGAAAGATGTTAAGTCAGATATATCGAGCCTGAAACACAGTTTATGAACATAAACTTCCCTAAAAGTGCTCCAAACTAAAGCAAAGAGGAGCCTGAAGCCTGTCAGCTGACCCTCCCACCTGCTACATTTGCTACAGCAGAAGAAGAAGCAGAAGGTAAAAACTCACTTGTGCCTCGGTCTGGTCCTGAAGAGGTTCTGCTGCGCTGCCTTCATGCTGCAGATATTTATCCTCCGTCCACCGTGAATCAAAGTGTTCTGAGGAAACGGCCTATCGGCTTCTCAGAAGCTTTGACATCAGTTTTTCTGCAGACTGAGTTTCCAGAAGTGCTGACTCAGAGGCGTGGCCTCTGTTCCTGCACGTTTCTGCACCTGACCTCCTGACAGGAAGTCACACTTTCACCATTATTCAGATTTCTGCTGAAGCCCCACATTTCCTCACGCTGACCGAGTCACATCAGGATAAACCTGGTCCCGAAGGGGGTCCAGGCGCACACGAGAACCAGCAACACAAACACGCTCGCACATTTACCTGAGGCAGGTAAACAACCAGTGACATCACAACCGTGTGATCACACGAGGAGATCCTGATGAAATACAGCGTGTTTGATTCACTTTGTTTTCAGTTTTTGTGTTTTTGCTTTTTTGTTGTTTGTTTTGTTTTAGTTTCATTTTGTTTTCCTTTGTTTTATATTTGTTTTGTTTAATAAAATTTCTTTCTGTTCTGTTTGTTGAGTTCTGTTTGTTTTGTTGTTTGTTTATCTTGTTTTGTGATTTTTTTGGTTGTGTTCTCGGCCTTGTTATTGTTGTTGTTATTGTTACTGTCGCGTCTTATATTTTAGAACTACGTCTGCCAGCTGCGCTCTCGTACACGATGTTGGAGCCGCTGGTGTAAAACTGAGAGAAAAAGAACTACAAAGATGGAGACTTGTTTACAGAGCAAACAGGAAGTTCCAGTGGAAACGTCTCGTATTGATCGGTCAGCACAGATCGCTGCAGGCAGCAGGCGGATTAGAACTACTTTATATCCAATACTGTGATACCACGTTTGTATCAACATGTCATGAATAAACCGACAGTAATGAGACGTAAAGATGAGTTTGGTCCAGAGAGACGAGAGCAGGATGAAACGTTTCCACCGGATTAATTAAAAGGTCTCTGCTGGTTTCATCTCTGGAAATGATCTTCATCATCTTCATCCTCATGATTCAGACTTCTGTGTAAGTGTTTCATCACTCTGTGTAATCTGATCTGAAGCTGCAGAGACACAAGGTGTGAAATCTTCTCTGTAAATGAAGCCCCAGCCGGACACATGACCACAAGTCTGTCTGTGACTCATAAAGCTGATCTTTCTCAGTGGGAGAGAGTCGACAGGCAGCGTCTCCTGCAGCTCCGCGTGGTGAACAGGAAGTTTAACGTTGCATCATTGCAAAAGTAATGCGTCATCAGCCTGAAGGTGAGGTCACATCTCTCTCTTCTCTGGAAGTGTGAGGCTTCAGGTTGCAAAACACACACGTGTGAAACACGTAACGACACGCTGCTCTCTGCAGGCTGCGGCTCAGGAGGACCAGGTTCGATCCCCGGCTCCTCACGCTGTTCCTTAAGTCCACGCCGCTCCTGAAGTCCACGCCGTTCTGTCCTTGAAGCCCACGCAGTCCACACCACTCCTGGCAGGCGAAGGCAGCGAAGTCCAGCTCTGCTCAGGACTCCAGCACGTCAGCTGACAGCTGGCTGTTCCAACCAGAAGCTGCTTCCTCTGTAACCGTTCAGGCCGGGTCCTTTCTGTTGTATTGATCTGGTCTGTTCTGGATCCCGGGGGTCTTTGCTGCTCTCTGCCTCGGGCTTTCCATGTACGCACATGGATGGGCGGGGAGATGTCAGGGCCAGACCGCCAAACATGACTTACTGCAGAGCAAGCTGTCCCGATGACCTGACTATTTCTTTCATTGTCGATTAATCTGCCAATTATTTTCT